ACTACTGAACTGTGAAATCCTGCCTTCTGGGTTGGCTTTCTTGGTATAGAAAAGGAAGACATGAATATTAAAACAGTTAAATTAATCTATAAATCTCTGTAACTGAAAATAATTACATGACTGACAAGAACCCTTAGATCATCACATCAAGTGCTCCAAACGAACTGGAACCATATATGCACAAGGGCAGACAGGAAATCCCTCTGAAGGGGCATGTTGAGGCAGGGAGGCAAAACCTCAGCTTTCATTATCAGTGGTGCATGTCTCTAGGCCTAGGCCCCTTGTGCCTAGGCCTTAGTTCCAGCCATTAAGCTGCAGCATCTCCCACTTGAAAATGTCAGCCTGGAGAAGAGATTGTGAGGAGACCTCATTGCAGCCTTCCAGTACCTAAAGGGGGCTACAAGAGAGCTAGAGAGGAACTTTTTACAAGGACATGCAGTGATAAGTAGCTTTAAACTGAAAGAGTAGATTTAGACTAGATATTAGGAAGAAATCCTTTACTGTGAAGATGGTGAGGCACTTGAACAGGTTACCCAGAGTAGAGGATATCCCATTCCTGGAAGTGTTCAAGGCCAGGTTGGATGGAGCTCTGAGCTGGTCTAGTGGAAGGTGTCCCTGCCTGTAGCAGGACAGTTGGAACTAGATGATCTCTAAAGTCCCTTCTAACCCAAACCATTCTATGATTCTGTGAAAAGTGACCCTATAATAAAGCATTATGAGAATATTTTTTTTTTTTCCCCAGAATCACAGAATAGTTAGGGTTGGAAGGGATCTCTGGAGATCACATTGTCCAAGACCCCTGCCAAGGCAGGGTCACCCAGTGCAGGTTACAGAGGAACATGCCCAGGTGGGTTTTGAATGTCTCCAGAGAGACTCCTTGACCTTCCTGGGCAGCCTGTTCCAGTGCTGTGCCACCCTCAGTGTAAAGAAGTTCTTCCTCATGTTGAGGTGAAACTTATGTTTCAGTTTATGGCCATTACTCCTTGCCCTGTAGCTGGGCACCACCTCTTGGCACCCGCCTTTGAGATATTCATATGTATTGATGAGATCCCCTCTCAGTCTTGAAGAGTAGGCAAAAGAGGCTCAGCTCCTACAGTCTCTTCTTAAGAGAGATGCTCCAGACACCCAGTCATCTTTGTGGCTTTAACTTGGCATTTTGTTACAGAACAAAGAACCTGTCTAGGTTACCAGGGAATATAAATAAGAAGCAAAGACTATATACAGTCTTGTTGCATAAAAACAGAGAAGTGCAGAGAAACAAGACAGAAGTTTAACAATCCTTGAGGAGATCTATTTCCTGAAGATTTTGTTTGGAAAATAGTTACACTGTAGGGATTTGGGTTGTATGTTTTATAACTTCTTTTTATGTCAAATGGAAGGAGTGGCATTGGATCTTTTCTTATGTTTTTGTCAGGCTTTGAGGGCTACAGATGGGTTCTGTATTGGCAGTTGCTGTCCTTGACTCTTTTTTTTTTTTTATTACATGTTTTAATAAGCTGGATTTCTTTTTATTACGTGCTTCTTCAAGCTGAATATTTTGACGTGCTTTTGGTTTGATTCCAGTGGCCATAGTGAAAGTGTCAAAGGAAGGCAAGAGGGCAAGAACTTTTTCTACACATCTTTTTTGAACACTTTTCTTGCCAGCCATGGAAGGAGCTTGTTTTTTGAACAGTTAATCAATCCTGGCTTTTTTTTTTTTTTTTTTTTTTCAGTTCAGCTATGTTTACCCTATGGGTATTTGGGATGAGGAGCTAGAAAGACAGAAAGCAAGAATTCATGTTTGCTGCTAGGTATGCTTTTGACAATTTGCTGTGTCATATCCATTGATACAACAGCTTAGAGCTGTTGATAGGAACTGGGAAGATAGAGATACAAAACCAAACTTCGAAGTAAGGACATCTGTATAGCAGTACAGTCTTCTAAATGAAGGTGGCTGAAAAATCTGAATTTTTCTATTCACTGCATTTGTATGCGTAATACTAAGTTGCCATTTACTTTCTGTGTGCCATTTGATCCCCAGCAGACTCTGAGTGGGTGGAATGTGTGGGACTTTGCCTGTTCTGCCAGAGCTGATGGTATCTTCTTTGACTGGTAAATCAAAGTAGCAGCAGCATCCCACCAGACCTTGATGCCTCTTGCTAGTCATGCTCTAGTCACAAAGCAAGCTTACTGATAGCTTGACTAGGTTTCCTCCCTTCTTACCAGAAAACACCCTCTTAGTTACTTGTATTGCTAGTAAATAGAGAAGACCACTTACTGAGTAGGTGTTAAGTTTCAATGTGGGTTATGAGGGTCTGACACTTTTCCTACTACCACCTTGCTAGCTCCTAAATTACCTAACACTCTTAAAAGTGTTAGGCAATTTAGAAAGGTGTATCATAGCTAGCTCTTCTCAGTAGAAGAAACTCCTTACTTTTCTTTGAAGATTAGTTCTTCAGCTTCACTCTGTGTGTCTTATAGCTCTTTAGTTACTAGATTCCGGATTGAGTCTGTATCGGCTACTTGGTTCAAGCAGGTGTAGCTCAGAATGATTGAACTTGCATAAGTGTGAGTCTGTAACACTTTGAGGTCTCTGGAAAAGCTAAGTTTGTCATGAGGAGTACTTCTGTCACTGTGTAGGACAGGATGACTTGAAGAGTGATCAAGTGGTTAGTTTTGTTTTTTCCTGTTTTTTTCCCGCCGGACTCTGCAGAAAAGTTGTTTGTGGTGCTGAGATCCTCTAAAGCTGGTAAAAAAGATGACAATACTTTCAGCTAACCTAACCACATCTAGAGTGAAAATACGAAGTGTGCTTAAGAGAGGCTTTCCAGCGAGACAGGGCTAATAAGTCTCTGCAGTTCTGCCCAGCCAGTGGTAAATTAACTGAGTGCTTGTTCTGACAAGTCCCATGGCACAGATGAGTCATTCTTAAAGGATAACAAAAATCTGCCCAGATATTAGATGCTGTTGTGTTCAATGGTCCTGAGCAGAGCCAAAAGCCAGAGGAGATGCAGCATGGCAGGATAAAAAAGTATTCTCCCGTTTGTCGATGTATCAGATTGAGGTTTCAGGATCGCTGTCCTCACCAACCTTTCCCTAGTGAAGCTGTCACTAGACTTACTGCAGAGGGAAGCTTAAAGTAACCCAGGGCTCTGAGCTTCCCAGTTCAGTTTCCACACAGATGAAAGTGGAACAGCATTTAGCGCACAGTGATCTCCTACGTGCATGCCATTACTAGATCAGCTTTGGCCAAACTTCCAAATTAGTACTTTTTGGATAGGCTAAGTCAGAGGCAACAGCTGCTGGTGCTGAAAGGATGAAAAATGAATCAGCTGCAAAAGGCTCATTAGTGAACGAAGGGGGCCTACCAGGTCAGAGCTTTAAAGTGACTTGCCTAGTGTATCTAAACTCAAAAATTCTTACTTCAGAGATTCCCATGTCCCTTTGGAATTTAGGACTGCCTCTTGAACAGATTCATGACTGTGCAATGATCTGTGTCAAGTCTCAGAATAAACCATAGCAGAACTGGGGTTAGAAGGTGGGCATGGGCTGGCCTCTTGGGTAAGAGGGAGCCTGTTGTTCTGCTGGTTGGTGGTGTCTGCCTGAGTTCCACCTCACAGTGGAAGGGAAGCAGTGTAGAACACTACTGCTATTAGTGTTACCAGCCAGGTGATTTGTGCTATCCAGAGCTTGACTGGCCATGCTGGAGTCCACAACAGAGACATATTTCGGGAAACTGCTGTAGCAAGAACTTCTAAGGCCTTACTGAAGAAAGGAACCTAACTGCTGTACTAGGCTGAAGTTTCAGGAGTGGAAGTGTTTTATAGTCATATGGAAATCCACAAGCAAGTTAAGCCTCCTGAGGCACTGCTAAATTGAAGGCCTCCTGTCACTCGCTGGTAGAGACGAGTTTTGCTCTTCTGTGTCCTGAAGGTATGTCCTCTCCTAACATCAATAGAGGGGCTATATTTGTTTCAGTCGGCCCTTAACAGACCAGTCAACACAGATCAGTCATCTCTGTGGTATCAAAACCTGGTGTCCAAAATCAGCATGAACATCATGTTATGCTGAACAACATAGTTATGTTTTTAACTGTACTGTCTCATTGTTTTTCTTAAGAGTCAGATGTTTTTGATGATAGCAGAGCCCCATAGTGTGTGTCAGACTTTTATCCTAAAAAACCCACCCTTGATGTATTACTGTGTTCAAATTGAAAACCCTCCTAGGAACAGACAAAGAAACAACAGGGCATATGTGCCCTGGCACCCATTTTTTGTTTTGTAGGATTTTGGGAACAAGTGATCAGGACAAGATGACAAATCAAAGCTGTGTGATGTAAGTTCCTGAACAGCTGTCTGTTCCTTTTTTGTAAGACCATCAAATTATTTTGACAGTTCTTAATATTTTTAAATATTCTTCTCCTTGTTGCAATATAAAGTAAGATTTAGAATTGAAAAGCTGTCAGTGAGAGGAAGAGAGGCCCCAGTGGGTGTTAGCTGCCTTTGCCCCATGTGGCAAACACTTTTGGACCCTTTGTATTTCTTGATAATCAGAATTTCAAACAAAAACCCATATGCAACTTTCTAGAGAGACCATCCAATCAAACTTTTGAAGGGGGAGGAATCCACAAGGCTACTTACAGCAGTGGGCTTTGGGTTTCAGAGTGTTGTTACAGCACTTGCTTATTTCCTTCTTGGAACATGTGGAAGTAATTATGGAGGGGGGTTGGAAGAAGGCACAGAGAGGCTGGAAGCAGCCTTGGAAGACAAAAGCAAATGAAATGTGGGCCATTTGGAAAGCTGTGCTGTGCCCACAGGTGAGAGCAGGTTTCTGTATCACATTGGCTTTTCTGGAGCCACTGTATTGCTGACTCAACTGCAGCCCAGATGCAAATTATTTATGCTGGCCTGGCAGTGTGGGATGCTGTAAAGTACTGGTCACTTGGTCTTCATCTTTACTGGACCTGAGCCAGCTTTGTGAACTTCCACATACATCAACAACAATTTTAATTTATTTGTGTGTATGTGCAGTAATAAGATTACTTCATCAGAAGATCTTAAAAGTACTTCTGCAGTTGTTCCTGGTTTGTTTCCTCCTCCTTGTTAATGTTTCTGGAATTAATTTATCAATCCTGGCTTTGTTTAAAACCACTAGGTTTTTGTCTTATAATTTGGTAGTGTGCTGATGTTCAGGATGCCTGGTGTGGATGAGAGCCCTGCTGCAGCCAGCCCTGTACAAACATAACACAGAACCAAGTCTGAAAAACTTGGCAATGTTAGTCTCAGGGCCTGTCAGACTGAATCATTTGGGAATGTATCTGAGGGGAGCACATTACAGGTGGGCCTGTTGCAGGGAAAATAATACAGTTGTCATAGTGAGTAGCATTCTTCTGGGGAGACAGATCTGCTGCTGGAGTGCAGTTGTGTTTTGGTTGCTGCTTTCCATCGCAGAAACCTTCCTTTCGCACTTGTGGTTTTTGTTAGAACTGGAATTTGTGTCTTGGTTTTTCAACTGCCTAGCATACAGCAAAGTCTGTCCTGTTTTGGAGGGGGAAAGAAAGGTGTAAAATGTATTTTTCTGCTAAAATTTCGGTGGGAGTGGGAGTTGCCTAACTGAAGCAAGACTTTCTAAGGGGCAGAGAGAAGTACATTTTATATCCAGACAATCTGTAGCACTGTAGAAGCCCCAGTGGCAGCTACATATAGCCTAAACATTTTGACTCTTATAAAATGTAAATATAATTTGCATTTTAGAGCAAGTTTTGATGCTAATGGTTTTCTTTTTAGGAGAGAGATAAACTACTGGGGAAAAAATCATATTTCTAATAGACAGACAAGACCCATAATTAATGTTGCACTAGCAGGCTTCCTCCATGGTTGGCTAATCACAGCTGAGTGTTAATAAGCATAGAGTTTTTTTAAATACTGTTGTAACACGTTAATTAAGATAATTCAGCTCCATGTGTCTCTTGAGTTACCAGATGGCGACTGCATTGGTGGAAGGCTGCAATTAGAGTCTTTTCTTCCTTGCTTTTTCTTCCCTTGCCCTAAGGAAAAAAAAAGGGGGGGGGGGGGGGGGGGGGGAGAAAGGCAGCTTTGGTTTGTATGGGATGGCTGAGAGGGGTGCCTGTTACTGTACACATTATAAATGCTTGTGTCTAATTATATAAATGCAGAGCTATATGATTGTATATACAAATCTCTTTGCTTTTGTTCTTCTCATTTACTCACATTACGACATAAAGAAAAATAAGCCTCCTCTTCAGAGTCTGCCCTTGCTGGGGAAACTGCAATTTCCCTGTGAAGACTCCAGTCCTGCTCAGTTTGCTCTTCTGTCGTGGACTTCAGAGTAAGCAGTATCTGGAGCCAGTAAAGACAGAGAGCTTGTTTTTCAGTGGACTTTGGCCTCTGCTTAATACACAGAGCCCAAAGAGGGTTATGTTTTGCAGTGTGTTTTTAGGGAGGCTTAAAATATTTTAGGGGCAGGGTCGGTGAGAAGTGTGTGCGCTCACAATGGAGGCCTTTTAGTGATTTCTGTCTTCTGTAAGTTAAATATAAAGAGGTCCTTTAGCCTCAGCTGTTGGGACTGGGCCCCGCCAGCAGCTGCTGGATCCCTCTGGGAAATGATCCATCTGCTCATGTGCTAGAGAAAGCCAAAGTGCTGAAAAGGAAAAGGTTCAAAATCTGTTCTCCTGTTTCCAGTCCCCATCTCCACCCCAGAAATTACAGACCAGTGGAAAACCTGGGCATCTGTTAATATGTCTTCTATGAAGTGAATGCTGTCTCCAGCTAGAAACACACCAAATTCTCAACTGTAGCCAGCTGGCAGAGGACAGCTTCAGTCTGGGTCCCTTTTTATATGTTGTACCTGCAGCTACTGTATTTGTATAGTTAAAATACAAAGGTTAGCACACTTCTGGGCAATAAACAAAAACCCCGCACCAACACCTTAAGCTACCTGAAAGGGGAGCAAAGTGTGCTTTACCTCAGCCAGGAGTGACCCACTTGTCCTCTAGGGAAAAGCCTTTCTAATGACTTTGGGAGGCATTTGTGTTGGAATTCCGTTCCATGGGCTAAAAAATGTCCCCAAGATGCTGGAAGAGGGTAAAATCTCGAATATTATTCCCAGGGTGTGTCATTGTTGTGCTTCACAGAGCCAGCCTGCCAAGTGAAATTCCGGTCTAAAGCATGTGGCCCTTTGTGTTCAGCACAAACCTGCTGTTACGAGCAGTAACTCTTTGTCCCTGAAATACTTGATGAGCCATTTCCTAGCCTAATATTAATTCCTAATGTCTGCATGGGAGGACAATGCAGGAGCAGAGGGTGCCTAGTGGAGAAGCTGCTGTGCTGAAAGCTTTTGGGTGTATCCAGGCAAACATGGTTAGTTGGAAACCTGAAGGTATTTAGCACTCAGAAATGGAGCTGGCAGTCATGCTGGGGAATGTGGGTGGAGGTGACTGCTTTTCTATCTACCACTAAAGCACATCCCCCTGTCATTGCTTTCTCAACAGGAAGGAAGGTGTGGGTGGGGAGCAGCAGTGCTGTTGATCAAAACTTATCAAGGTGCTTTTTCTCCGCAGACCAACTGTTTCGGAAGTGGTTTTTGCTTTCGTAAAAGATGGTCTTTAGTTGAGGAAACCAGTCTAAAAGGGTATGAAATGGTAACAGACTTGCTTCTTACTAAAACCAAATTGCTGCTGAGGGAGGAGCTGCCAAAAGCGTCTTCTGCTGTTTATAGGCTGGTTTGTGTGCACAAGAGGAAAATCAAGGATGTTGCCTGTCTGGATTTCACACTGAAAGCAAAGCTGTCTAGTCATCATCCCCCACTGCAGAAAACTCGTGGAACCAAACACCAGTCCTGCCTCAGGCAGAAGAAAATCTTGTGTGACTGAAGGCTCTGGTTTAAGGAGAAAAATTCCTGACTGGAAGAGAAGCTTGTGGAATTTTTTTTTCTGCAGTCACAGTGTCACTGCAGCCATGGTGTTTTTCCCCTGTTCCCCCAGAGAATGACACAGCAGGAGGTTTGGGTTACAGGGACATGACAGATAGCTGCATGTTGTTTGAATTAAATAGATGTATATTTTTTTTAATCTTTTTTCTTTTCAAGGCGGCAAACTACCTTTAGCCGAGACTCTTCAGAGTATAGAGGATGAAGTGAAGTTGACATGAGAAAACCAGTTACCTTGGACAGGGTATTTCCTGTCTGCTAGTTAGGAAGGGTTTATAAAATAAGTGCTTATTGTTGAAAATGGTATGTGTGCCAGTTGTATGTGTGCCTTTAGTTATGGCGTTACTTTTCAGGTTGTTTTCTCTCAGTAGGTAGTGGAGTTTGAGTTCATCATATGCTAGCTAGGGATCTGTCCTACCCTAGACACGTGGAAGGGTTTGAGACAAGCCCTTCTCTAGAAGGAAAAGCTAAGTTAAACAAACAAACAAACAAAACCCCCAAAACAGCAACAAAAACCCACCAAAAAAAAAAAAAAAACACAACACACCCACAAAACCACCAGACCAAAACAGACCCCAAAAAGCCCCCAGACAAACAAGTAAGGTAGTTACTTGCATGAAAACTTGAACAATGTGTTCTTTTAGGTGTGAGCTGAGGCACTGTAGTTTGTCTGCAGCACTTGGAGGCTCATGTGTTGCCTTTGTTATTGCTCAAGAAGCTGCTCAGTCAGCTTGGCACTGTGGCTGACTACCCTGCTGCTGTGGGTAAGGACGGTAGTGACTCTGTTATCTGTTTGGGTCACATTCATGCTTCTCTGAGTACCAGAGACAGAGGTTGGGAGTATATCCAAGAACTGGGCAAAGGAAGGGGTAAATTCTTTCCTTATTGGCTTACTAAATAACCAAGAGATTAGTGGAGAGGTTGAGTGAACAGGTCTCAAGAACTGAAACTCTGCAAGGAGAGAAAACAATGTCTCTTCTCCTATTAGCAAATTTGGCCAGAGCTCTTGCGAGCAAATTTATTCAATTGCTTCCCAAGTTAAACTAATGTTCCGTATCAGCCCTGAGTGGGATCCATGGGCAGCACTCTGCTAGAATTGCCAGACCCTATAGAAGCTGAAGTGGGCATTCTTGTTCTCTCTGACTTGCACTTCTAGCCTGCTGACTGCATCAGGCTGTGAGGTTTTTATTGTGGAAAAACCATTGTGTGGCTCCAGATGCAGCTGGTGTTTTAGACCACCCATTTAGCTGTGATAGGACCCACATTGAAGGTGGGAGTAGAGAGGGAGGATTACTCTCAAGGGTGTCCTAGAGAGTTTGGGGCTGGTTCTAAAGTCCTTGCCAGAAGTAATGTAGTAATAGGTTTTGCAGTTCCCTTTGCTGTACTGAAGTGATGCACACATGAATTATCCAAGCTGAAAAGTATCTGTAGCAGGGACAAGTAACTGGAAAATGGGGATATCTTGCATTTATTTTGGATGCTTTTTTGAATGTGCTGTTTCTAAGACTCGTAGTCCTGCCGGATGAATAATGGTGGCAATCTTTTGGAGAACTGGCTTGGACAGAGAAGTGCTCCTTGCCACTGTGGAATGTGCTAAAGCACAACTTGGAAACAGAGTGAATAGGCAAAGGCAATGATTGTGACCAGAAGGAAACTTTTGTATGTGAAAGGAGATATGAGAAGAGACAAAAGGATATAGTTTGAGGCAAGCCAACTTTTTCTAACCTCCTGTATAGAAGGGCAGTCAAGGTGGAGCAAAAAAGTTATGATGAGGCTTCAGAGGAAACAGCATGAAAGAAATGGCATGGCCTCTAGCACTGGGACAGTTTAACTGGGTGCTTATGTGTTCTGCTTCACAAAGGTGTTCAATCACCAGGTAGGTCATGCTGGCATGAGACAATCATGGCAAGTTGAACCAGACTAGGTGGGGACATGTTTAGCTTGATCAGGAGGGTGGGTTTTGTTTATAGCATGTTTTTCCTCTGTGAGTCTTGATAGTATCTGTTAAATGGATTAAATCTTGTGGATGAAGAAAGAGAAGTACTGAGTTTAGGATCTTCCATTTCCAGTCTTCACATCCCACAAAAGTTGTGATATGTCTAAAAGGCTGGAGATTTTAATAACATCCAAACGGGGCACATGTTCAGAGCATCCAGAGAGCAGTTGTAAACCCAAATGGTTTTCAAAGTGCTTCAGTGATGACATGTAAGGTTCCTCTGAGGATGGTTAAACCTGCTAGAGCACTTGTGTAGTCAGTGAGGAATTTACCTGAGGCTCAGTCCAACTTCCTCTTGGAATTGCTGGGATTTGGACCTGACTCATATAAAGAGTAACTATAATTTGTCAAAACTGTTCCTGACCTAGCTTTAGTGACCTTTATGCCCTGCTGTGAAGAACAAGAAACGTTACTGGATGTTCAGTGCAAAACATCCCTTTGTTAAGCAATGCTGTACCCAATTGTCTGCCCATGTGAGGTGAGCAATGCCATGATTTGTTCTCCCTTAGTTACAAACCTCCAGTTAGGCATTCTAGCGATTATGATTAGAAATTGTCCTGTTGTGGTTTTTGTTGTTGTTTGTTTGTTTGTGGGGTTTTGTTCTTTTTCTCTTTTAAGAATGCATTTTGTTAAGGAGGATTTTGTTTTCACTTCTGTGTGGTCAGACTGCCCAGCAAAACAGGTGAGTGACCAAAGTACAGTTCAGTTGCTTGGTGCAGAAAAAAGGGTGTAAGAGCCCAGACAGGGTCCATGAATCTTACTAGTTGAAAAAAGACACAGTGACAAGCAAAGATTGTAGAGAGGTCTCAGACTCCTGATTGGTGGTGTGCCTGGCCAAAGAAGGTTAGTGCTGGGGAGCTTTTAGAATTCCGTAGCAATTACCCAGTCAGATTAAAGTATATTTTAATCTTTCAGTGTTCGTATAAGTAGGGTGTATTGTGCTTGATCCTTACCACAATAGGCTAATCCTGCTTGAGCTTTGGAAATCATCTGCTTACCTGTGAATTTCACTCTTGGTGATGGAGGTCAGCTGTGCTCCTGGGGTTTATGTTCTGAGTATCTAAACTCTTCACTTTAGTGTCAGCACACAACATACGATGTGCTTCCATCTGTGGCCATGTATATGACCCTGCCTTGGATTTGTGTCTTTATTACATTATGTTAGAAATGCTTCATAATTCTACATCAGGTCAGCAGTGAGGACCTAGGCTGTTTCACCTCAGCCCAGACATGGAAGGTCCATTTCATTCTTTGGTGATTAGGTTGATCATTTTGACCAACAGGCATCTCTTACTGTGTCTAAAGCTAGGTTCCAACCTCTCACAGCTGTCTGTGAATCTGGTGGACAAGGAAGCAAGTGGAGCTTAGTGCTATTAGCAGAATCATGGAAAAGGGAGCTGGTGAAGGTACAATGTGACGATGCTGTCCCTGCAGTAAAAAATAGATTCCTTAGTGTTGTGGTGATTCTTGTCAAGTTGATAACAGCTATTCAAAGAACATAGGGACCATATAACATTCCTTGAAGTGATTGAAGGTGATTTGGTGGGAAACTGGGTGGAGGTGCATACTGGCTTAGTATTTTTTCGTTTGTGTATTAAAAAGTCTATCTATATGGTAAATACCTTGTGGTTTGGAATGGCATTTGCAGAAACTCCAGTGTATAACTTTAATTTCTGCCTGTCGATCTCAAAATGACTGTTTCTTTACCTCAGAACAGAGTTCAGCGATGTTCAAAGTGTTGGGACCTCTATCCAGTTGTTATCTCCTTCCTGTTTTCCAGCAGTGTATGCTGACATAGAATCAGCTCTCCCTCCAGAGATGTCATGAGCTTCAGTACCACTTAGAGGCCTTTGGGAGTAGAGTTGAGTTTTGCCCCCTTTGCACAGCAATGTTTAAAAACCCCTTCTGTGCATCCTCAAAGCTTGATGAATCAAGATGCTGGCAACAGCTTTGCAAGCCTAGAATGTCAGGAACCCATTAGGAAGTTAGTAACTTCTCTAACTTGGCTCTCTTACTCTTCCCTGCCTGGCATGAACATTTGTTTTAAGATGTCTTACAAACCCTGGGATACTTCCAAGAACATGTGTTTCAGAGTGGGAGTTCATGAAATTCCTGTGTGTTTCTATTTCAAATATGCCAGTGCACTGTGAGTCTAGGCTGATACTATTGGCAAGGAGGTGATTGTTACAATATATGTACTTAGTGTCCCACAGATTTAAAGGAATTTTTGTAACCTTGTGGGAAGGTTTACTGTATCCACTGTGTGTCACCCCCTTGAAACTTGGGAGGGGTAAATCCCGGGGTGAGGGGGGGGTTGTGAAGGGACAGGAGGGAGGGAGGATGTCACAGTTTTGCTGTGTCCTGTGAAACCTGTCAAACTTTAGCTGGGGCTGAAATAATGAAAAAACATCCTCCAGGGTTTAGTTCATGTGTCTCAAAAAGTGTCAGCGCACCAAGGTAATATTCAAACAGCAATGCTGCTGAGGGTTGAATGTGAGTAGCCCACTGGGAAGCATGAGATCAAAGGAGAGCTGGGTCAGGCTACTCCCAAACCCAGTACTGAACCATTATGGCACAGCCATGCTCTGGAGTGGTAATAAACAGTTCACACAGGCAGCTATTCCTATCTGTCCACGCCTTCTGGCTGCAGACTTAGCCAGGAGTGGGCTGCTCTGGACATGCTTTCTGGTAGCAGTTGGCACCCAGCTTTTTTTACCCCTTGTGTCAGTAATTTATTCTGTGGAAAGCAGTAAATGGGATGCTCTGCCCGGTTCTGTATTGCTGTGGATATACCAGTGCTGCAAAATTGAGGCATAAGCTTTGCTGCTGGTGATACAAAGGGTTGTGCAGAATCAGACTCGTACCTTTTCTTCTATTAGCTCCAGTTTGGAGTGCACATACAGAGGCAATTGAAGAAATGCATCATGGAGCATGTGAAAGCTGAGGCTACTTACTGTAGGAACAGGTGACTCTAGTGGAAACCTGCATTGTCTTTCCCAAGCATTCTGGGTGCCTGTGTTGCTGTACTGGGCACTGATTTGTAAAGGTGCTGTGTTCTGTCAGAGATGCTAGATCCAACAGGAAGCAGAGGTGTTTGACTTTCTCAGTTTTTCAGGCACCACCAGTCCATCATACCCACCCAAGCCTTGCCTGGGTCAGCTTCAGCAATTTTTAATTCCATCAGCACTGTCTAGTAGACCTTCCCAAAGCTGCAGGCTCTGAAATGCTTTGTTCCCCTGAGGCTGCCCTGCAAAGGACAGTTCAGGATCAGCTCAATCATGTTGAGGATGGAAGGTGTTTATGTTCTGGCTACCTCATCCAGACCTTTTTTATCTGTTTCCTCAGCACATAAACAGTGTTCTTCTGTCACAGTCCAGGTGACATTTTAAAATACATCACTCTTGGATGCTGTGATGGCAAGTGAAGGTTGGAGGAGGGGGAAGAAGAGGTGACTAATTCTTTTCCCTGTTAAGAGAACAAGTCAAGGACAAGTGCCTGAACACACCTATCAGCTGCTTCTCTCCTTTTATGTGCCAAGTGGCCTGTGGGGGTGAGGAGGGAACCAGTTTGCAGTTGCATAGCTGTGCATGGCCTGAAGCCCTTGCGTAAGGAGGCCAAGTTAGGGTTCTGCAAGGGCCTGATGTTTTGGTATTTCCAAGCCTTTGAGAGTGCTACTGCAATATAAATGAGTGCCTGTTTCTTGTTGGGTGCTGATTTTTTGAACATAACTCAGAAACCCCATCAGTGAAGGTGGCACTTTATGATAGAAGGGGAACTGAACAATGAGCTGCT